AGTCATCCTATAACACACAAAAACTACAGACATGCAATCAATACACTTTAATTATGATAAATTAAACTAGAGAGAACTTAAAATGGGCCACTTCAAAAATCAAAAGAACTACTTTCTAGACTAAAACGGGTTGGGTCTAATTCCGTACCGGGGTGAGACCATTATCGCATAATAGCGAGTAACGCCTTTAATACCTATGTCTGAAATACGGCGTTAAGACATAGCCGCTAAAAAAACATCATTTTCTCGAGTCAACCGGTAAGAAACAACGTTGCAGATTCGTGTTTGTACTAGTTTGGCGGGTCTCATTTACACAATATTAGGCCTCAAAGCCCTAACCAAAGCAAAATATTCGACATACTTCCGCGTGGCATGGTCGTTTTTGCTTTGATCTCTATAATCGTAGATGGACTGAAAATGACGTTAGCAACATCATGGAGACAAAACCCTTCTAAAACTGAGATTAATATTTATAACCATTTTTAGGAAACTTGTTACTGGTTTCATCTTAAATATACAAACTAAATGAGCTATAAAAATAATCAAAAATATGTTGATGAGGAAAATCGGACTCAATCAAACATGTCAAAGAAACGATCCTATTTACACTTCAATAAAACTGGACAGTCTGCTCACAAATATCTTCAAGTAGAAACAGAGTGTCATATGATAATAAAGGATGTCATATCTGGTATAATTCTACGTTACTTTCTGGTCCAGTAGTGCAATTTCAGACACTCTTGTAACCTCAAGATTTAAAAAACATGGACAAATCTTTATACGGTACAACAATAAAGTCAACAACGGGTATACTCTTTGACGAGATACATCATCACGCCAACACAATTAAGGACATATGGATACTTTCAAGCTTTACTGGTGCATTATTTCAGGCATAAATTATACAGATACTTTTTCTCTTGATTGTTTTCTATTTTTAAGGCCAATTTATTTGCAAAGGGAGTTTATTGTTCTTATTTTTCTAACACGATCAGACGTGGGCAACATGTTTGTAAATAATAATTTATTTCAGGAAACAATTGTATTAAGTAACAACATGCAATCAAAATTTTGAACGTTTTTCAAGATCTAATTATCAATTTTTTCTTACTAAGTTACGAAGAAAATACATTGACTAGGTCGCAAATACTAGTAACTTGATTATATTCGCCGATAAAAGGCGTTAAACATGTGTTATAACTATGTACCATATATGAAAAAGTCACATTTTCCGGCGTTACCGCGAAGCACAGTTCACGTACATCGGTGTTACCTCATAAAAACGGTATGAAATATATTTTATCAGTTTATTTTCAATTTTCTGTATCATCAGAAGTTAAGTTTATGTCACTTGCCTACCGAAAATCGAAATTATACGGTATAATATGATTTGTTGTACGTATAAGAGCGGACACAAAGCCAAAATATCGCTCAAAACGGTGGTCAAGCCATCATTTTCACGAATGATCTTGACAAGTAAACAATTTCGTGGATGTAATCTTGATAAGGGATAAAGAGTTATGTCTTTGCAGCCGTACGCTGCTATTCCCTTTTTCAATTTGGTTAAATAAAAAATAAATTGGCCAGTTTACTTATACCGCGTTGGAAATCCTTACAGGTATCCGCCATTTATTGCACAATTCTGCGTTACTTATTGCACGAATCGTGCCTTATTTTCACATTCCGGCGTTACTGGATATACACGTTGTAACGGGATTTTTAAATTTACAACATTTTTACAATTGGATATTTACATTCATATCGATTTACCAGTAGATCGTAACATTTGCGGAATTTACCGACTACAGGGTCGAATGCAAGAGTGCCAGGTCAATGTTGTTAAACTGACAATTAGAATAAGAATGGTCAGGGATTCTCCGTGTATGGTACAGTTAAATACACAAATATTGAAGCGCCAATACGCTTCAACGAATAGAAAAATTCATATAACATTAGTGACAGTTTTTTTCTTGAATATTTATCCGTACATTTTATTTCTCACAAAATGAAGCACGTTCAGCTTGACATCTTTATATTTAAGTACAACTGTATTGCGTATTTAATTGTCTGCATTTCACAGCAATTATATGACCTCTATATAAACCTTGCAGAGTGTCGGTTTCTTCAATAAGTTACATTGATTAAAAGTGAAAAGATTGTTAACTCAAACAATATGTTTTACGGGTCAAAGACACCACATTCATTTGACCACACAAGTAGTTCTGACGTTAATACCAGGTTATATAAGCGTACGGAATGAAAGGCGCACATAGTTGGTGTACTTGTATATTGCTGAAACATCGCATCGGCAAGTAAGTCTTATTTCTTTTTTATATTTTCATAGAGTGGTAACATGTACATGTTGCGGGCGAAGTTTAAGATATAAAATTCACAGTATATAAACGATTTGAACCCCAACCGGATCTTGTGAGAAGATTTTAGTGTCAGCCATATTCTGCCACTTTACTTGTTTACGATATTGGTATTATATTGATACTGATGGACGTTAGGTTAGTAAATCTATATTTATATTATAAGAGAGAAACTTTATTAAACGTCTAAGTTATGCAAAACATAAAACGTTAGCACGAAGGCTATAAAATAATCGAAACTCACGAACAGCTTTCAGGTGATCAACACTGAACACGAACAAAAATCCGTCTTATTCCAATGTTGATTTAGTTAAACATTGAATTGTGATATCGAACTACTAAAGTAATCAATAACAAACGATAATTTAGTCATATGCATAACATATTGCTGTATCTTGAACATAAATTTAAGAGTTTTACCAAGGAGGTCATTTCCGTAAACTGAACGTTACTTGCTGGTGATTGTGAACCCTACTTGTGAGTTTACGAATTTTATCTGTACCCTGACTTGTGAGTATTTTTAAAGATTTATTGGAGAAAAAGTTTACGATCATTGCGATTTTGTATCAGTTATTGCCGGAAAGTATAAATGATTGTAATAGAATTTTAGTATATAAGGTGGGATCTAAAGTATTTACCGAGAATTGGTTTAACTGATAATATTGTTAATCATTTGTTTAATAAAATATATAATGCTATGTATATTTTTCTTTCGGATCACCATGGAAGAATACAACTGCATATACTGTTCAGTAAAGACTACGAATTTCAATGCCATCATTGACCACATAATTATAATTATTCGCCATCCAGACTGCAACTTGAAAATAAGAATAAATAATAATAAACTAAAAAATGTCAGCGTCACAGCCAATAACGTAAACGAAAAAAAAGAAGTTTATAACACCAATAGCTGAAACACTAACAATTAAAATTTCAAAATTTCTCGAATATTCTCCGTTTAAAAAGATGCCAAAAGTGTCGACGCCTATGAAAGATATACAAGAATAAAAGTTGTACATGTTCAGAATTAAATAGAAAGTCAATGAATTTCTGAGAATATAAAACAGTGTTTAAAAAAAGCAGAATGAAATCAACGGTAGGTGTAAAGCTTTCAACATGTTGAAATAAGTAATCTGCAAAAAAATCTTGTAATGATATTTCGAGGTTTATTGATACGTGACGTTATGTCAAAACTAACAACAAATGCTAAATATCAAAAATTATAGTACATATGTAATATTTTAGCTTTATATCTTTCCAAAGAAAAATGAATGGTAAGTGAAATGAGGTTTGTTAGTTAATTATTCCTATCAAGAAATAATTGACTTTCTGATTCGTAAAACAGTGAAAACATGACGAAAATTCATATGCAGTTTTAGTTACTTACATAGAACTAAAACATGTACCCTTCTCTTGTGACACAATAACTTCAATATTCTGCACAATAAATTTGGAACATACGACAAAAACACAATAAAAATCATCAAAAGAGACTCGCAAGTAATGGTTCAGTGAAAAACACAAGTAGGGTACAGATCATTAAAATTGTTTTAGCAAGACGGGTACAGTTATCAGAAATGTCGCCTCTATTATTTTACTATGTTTTATCAATATTCAAAGATATTTTCACAAGTGTCTGTCCGTAACATGAGGTTAAGACAATAAATTAAAGATTCAGATATATGAGTTATACATTTTTGAAGTAAAACAATTTTAGGCATACATTTGGTTGTGTAAATCGGCGTGTGTTGACATAAATGCTGAAAACATGAGGCAAATCGTTTATAATTGTGAATTTACTCCGAGCACAGCGTTTTAATGCGCAAAAGTATTTTACGAAGAAGGTTATGGATGTATATTTAAGCAAAGTTGCTATTTAATTTTGTTTGTAGTTCTTCGTGGCACATCAGTGTTGAAGATTGAAAAATGCTTAAGCCGGTGCATAGGGGCTTGAGAGATTTGGCAATTTTGCATTATCTGTCCTTAACATTCTCAATCAAACCAAGCCTGCAATTTTCATTCAATACTGTTATTTTCATTGCCGAGAGATCACCACTTTACCAGATTTTTAAAAGTTGGAGTCCGGCAAATTGAGATAAGACCGGGTTTAACTATTATTCAACATTCAAAATACATTCTGTCAATCGCGGAGTCCATATCTCGATGTATATACAGAACGAGACATTTTTCAGCAAAACATTTCTATCGGATAGTGTAAAGGGATACTCGACTGCCCCATGTTACACAATATTTTCGTTTTTTTCTGCATATACATTAATTTCATTTCAATGAGAAGGAATATATACCTTAGATTCTTGTACTAAATAATAGCGAAAATTGACTAGCCCTTTCCTTTATGTTGTAACCAGTCTGCAAATATATCATAGGAGTTTACAGACAATATACTGTAAGTAACGCGTCATCCTATAAACATTCGGTAAATTTGTTTGCAACATATCATCTTTGAAAATTTTGAAGATGCTATATGAAGATTTGTATCGTTCATGGATAAATATCTGTTAGCCTTGATAAAGTGTTGCACACAATAATTTTATTTTATTTGTGCTCTATCGAATCAAATTTGAATTTTATTTTGAAATAATAAATATCTGTTGTTTTTTTTACAAGCAACTATGAAGATCTTGCTGTGGACCTACATATTCATGAGCATAGAATTAGTGATAATAAGCCAGGCTACAGAAAATATTACACTAATGGAGCAAATGCACACAGCTTTAGATGATCTTTGTCCTGGTGCTGATGTATGTGCTGAGGAAAGACAATTCCAGAGAAACTTTGATTATATGACACATTCTGAATTCCGCTCATGTTGTACAGGTACATCAATAAATCTATGTCAGTTAAACAGAATAGTTTAAATTGATAAACGATCAGTTAACTTCCAATCATCAATTTCGTTAACTTTATCCTTTCGTCTATGCATTATAGAAAGTTCGAACAAATGGTATTAAACTTACGTACGTTTAGGGTTTCTTTCGATGGTAGAGAAAAAGACAGGCGAGTCATTTATTTTGTCTTAGAAATATTTTAGACCGGCAATTATTCAATTACATTGATAGAAAATTTAAGTGCAGTTCAGAAACGTATACTATGTCATTAAAAACGTTTAACTGAACATGATCTACGTTTAACTGAACATGATCTAATAAAGTTAATCTTCACACCATAAGCATTATCTTATGTTATGAAAGTGATGAGATATCATGGGTATAAACCTGTATATATTTTGAGATAATTACCTTAGTTTCAGTTCGTTTGTTTAAATTCCCCATTCCATAGCGTGTGTCTACTTTCATACTAATTATGATGAGTAATACTGAATTCCTATTTGAGACTTTTTCTTCATGTTATAGATTGTTCATGTGGACCGGATTGTGAAAAGAACGGCAATTGCTGTTTCCCAGAAGCAGCAAAATACAACAATGGTATAGATAATTATGAAGAAGAATCAACATGCTTGTTTCCTATGACAAAACAACCAGTAGGGAGTAAACGAATAGCTTATCAGTCATATTATATGGTAACATCGTCGCTGGAAAGTTATAAAAATGGTACAAAATTCATATATAATACATCATGTGGGAGTGAACGTGTAGCACCATGGGGTAGCTTATATCCAGTCTATTCATCTACAACGAAAAGAATATATAAGAACGAAATGTGCGCTACAAGAAATGGTGTTACAGACGGAAAGCTTCTGGACGCAGTACTTTATTGTGCAAAAGAACAGTACTTTGACAATAAATTTATGGTATGGCTAAAAAAAACAAAAAGGTTTTTTCCAAAAAGGGTGCCAAAAAGTTGGTTTTTATTTCCCCGTGGGCCCCGACCCCTCAGAAGAATTTTTTTATCACAATTGCAATGCTAAAAAAAACACATTTTAAAATTTTACCACTTTCCCAGAAAGATTATTTTAAAAATAAACTTTCATTTGAAATAGTTTTTTCCAAAAAGAAAATTTTTAAATTTAAAGGGGGTCCAAAGGGCTAATTATTTCACCCAAAAAATTTAAAAAAAAATTTTAATATTTTCGGCAAAAGTTTTTTTGTAATATATTTGAAATGAAATGGTTTTTTTAAAGAAGAAAAAAATTTTATTTTTGTGAAGTTACCACCCCCGGGGGCCCGGTTTCTTGCGGCCTTTGGGAACATTTTTTGGGGGAACATTCCCTCGGTAGTTTTATTGGGTAATTTTATAACCCTTTTGAAAATGGCAATTTTTAAAAAAAGGACGAAAAGATTTAAAACCACCCGAAAATTTTATTTTTAGTCCTGTAAAAATTTGTAAATATTTGGGGAAAAAATAGAGAAATAATAAACTCCGATTTTTATTTTTTATTTGTAAGAATTGATAAAAGAAAATATAAAAACTGTTTTTAATTAACAAATTTTTTATATTTTAAAACGGGGGTGTTTTCAATAAACAAAACAAAATTTTTAAGTTTTAACGTTAAAAAAATTTAATTAAAACCAATTTTTGGGGAAAAACTTGAGCTACACCAAACCATTTTTAAAAGAACAGGGCAAAAATTTTATAAAACCCGAGGTTCCAATTAACCATTTTTCATTCTTTCCGTGTTTGGGGTTTTTATTTTGGGGTTGGAAATTCTGTTTTTTATACTTAAAATTCTTGGGGAATTTTAATTTGAAAACAAGCAAGGGTTTTCAGTGCAATGAAAAAAATTTTTGGTTTTAAAAAAAAAGTGATTTAAAACCAAAAAATATTTCCCGGCCTTTTGGCAAAGGGGTGTTGTGGCCCTGGGGTTAAAATAATTTTAAAAAACCCCAAAATTCGTAACCCTTTAAAATTTATTAAAATTGACTCTTGATTCGGGAAACCTTAAATTTTCTTAAAAAAAACTGTAAAATTTTTTTTCCCATTGGAAAAGTCCATCTCCTATTTATTTTTGTTTGTTTAACGAAACTGGAAAAATGCAAAAATTTACATTTTCCCCCCGGGAAAACTTCGGGAAAACCAAAGGTGATTGTTCATACACCCACAGGTAAGGTTAAAAACCCGGAAATTTTTCTTTTTATATAAGGGTTTTGCCTAACTTTTCCCTAATTTAACGTTACGATGTGTTTTGAAAATTTTTGCTGGACAATGGATATATAAAATTACCTAATTTTAAATCACCATGGCCGAAAAACTGGATTGTGACAGAAATATATTACCGAAAGGGGCCTTATAATGATAGCCGACAAGTCACAGAGCTTCAAGTTATCATTAAAAATAAATTAAATTCAGTTAATCCTTGGCACATCATGCACACAATAAAGACCTGTGTTTCTAAACCCTGGACATTGAAGACAAGAGATAAAACAGTGGTGTTCCAATCTAGATTCCTGCCAAACATTATAACATTGCATACTCTACCGGATTTTTCACCGCTGTACATTGGGTTTAGAGTCTTGCTGAATGTATTTCATGTTACTCAGCTGTTTATTTGCGACCAGGTTGAACTTGATCCTTCGGAGTTCAGTCTGACTGCAAATGATACAATACTTCATACAAATATCACAAACCGTAGAATGTTCAGTGGTGAGTTTACGTTAGTCTCAAGTCCGTCTTTTGATGGACTTAGGGCCAGGATATGCGTCGAAGATTTTGAATCGAAACGCTCAGGTGAAAGAGCTTTATTTAGAATATGTATTTTGGATTTTTTCTGCATGTTCCTTTGCTTTCTAAAATATTTTTTGTAAAACTATTTAAAACCATCCAGTGTTAATTATATGTATACCTTTTGTGTTGTAAAACACATAATTGTGAAAATGGAATCGGTGTGAAAAAGACTCTATCGCCGTCAAACTTCGATTTCTTTCTTCAAATTACCTCATGTTCGTATTTTACAATCAAGATTTAAACTTGCGAAATTCTTTTGTTTGAACTCGGTTTGGCTAAAAGTATAATAATTTGTGAGAATAAACGTTTGAAAGTTATTCTAGTCTTTTCACTTTATTCATAAAATTCCTGTGTCAAATGTTTGTTTGTATGTAATACAGATTCTATTTAGCTAAGCCTAATAAAGGGATAATCAACGATCGTCAGCGTAAATGGCCGATTTTACGCGAATCTGTTGCGATTACTTGCAAATATTTCCGAAGTCGTCCTACGATTTTCGAAGGTTTCTGTCAACATTTGGACGCTATCACTATTACTAACAAAAGGGTGTAGACTATGAAGAAATTGTAATTTTATCATATTGCAATATCTACATGAATTTATATCATTATATCAACTTATCTAATGTCTTGGTTTGGTTTTCTGTGGGGCTATTTTAGTCGAATTTTCTTTCCGGCGTTGTGAATGGTACAATGACCATCCTAATATTTTTTCCATCATCATTTTGAGCGCGTCTTGACGAAACAATATGACTTGGGTTATTAATGGTGGTTGGTTTTGCATCAATAAATTGATAATTGGAGACTTCAGACCTATCCACAGTAATGAGAATGATTCCGGTCAACATCTATTGTTTCGTATCAAATTAAAGTTAATGACTCTCATCTAAAGCGTCAGTCATTATAACCATACTACAAAAGTTTAATATGCATATGCTCCGCTTCCAAATAAGACTTATTATATCCGAAAACGTAAACACTAAACTACAATATCATCAGGCACTATTGAGTGAATTTTGTACCGAAACTTTGCGGCTCTTTTAACGTGGGAACATCTGCTAATTATTCCTAGTTAGATCCTATCCAGAGACTGACGTAAATAGCAGATAGGTAGCTATTGATTGCAATTAGACCAATCAGAAATTCTTACTTTCCCGCCATTTTTTTACAATTAAACAAATCTTCTACAGCTTCAAAATGACCTCTTGGATGTTTCTTTTTTAAGAAAAAACTTGTATACTAAATGCTGTAATGGATAATCGCAATCTTTACTTTCACCTGCCCAAAGACCCTTAGTGATCATTTCAGCTTTTCTGAATCAAAAAGTTAAGACAAGTTCCAAACATTCCCAAACAAATCAGAATTGTTTCCTCTTGTAGAAGCAAAGCATATATATCTCTACTCAAAATTCAACAATAGCACGAGACATAAATTTTAATTCGTTCATTTCGTATTATTAAACCTGTGTTTGTTTGTCAATGTCGAATAACTGAATGTTTGACCTCATTCTTGCCCAGTTGAAACTAATATTAAGCTTAAGCGCAAAATTAAATGAAAGAATAAACATATGACAGGCACGGAGTCCGAAAATTTTTCACGCAACAATGATTTTGAAAATTTAAATGGATCGGATGATATTTAAGATAAACGTATTACTGTAAATGAAATTTTGGAAGCAATCGAAACTTTAAAAACAAATAAATCACCTGGTATTGATTGTCTGTTAAATGAATATTTTATTTAATGTATTGATATTTTATCCTCGCATATTTGTGATATTTTTAATTATGTACTTGACAGCTTGATACTTTAGATATTGTCGATAGCTTCAATTACTTAGGATATACTCAGTCCTACGCATAAACCCTTCCAGCCTGCTGAATCTCAGTAAGGTCTTATCAGATAGTAAATCACTGTAACTGTATGTCTCCCATTAACACGTCCCCCGAGTTGAGAGTTTTGTTATTATTAATTGCCCCTCTGCATTCTTATCTAATGGCCCCAACGTTGAAGGATCAAATTTCTTTAGAAGATATACACTCACTAAATTTATCAATGTTTTCCTCTCCTTTCTTTTGTAAATGGGTCTGTGGCCAATTGAATTGTGAAACTTAGCAATTATTTGTAAATATACTTTATAACATACAATATCTTTTTTAATTAATTTTAAATACTCATTACTCATATTGTTACTCATGTTACTGTCTGAACCCCCCTCCCGGCCTGCTAAAAAACAAAAACAAAAAAACTGTTCATATATGTATCTTTTACTGCAAAGTGCAAGACTCTTAACTAAAATGACCAGGTAAGTGATATATTTATTATTAGCTCCACTATTCTAAGAATATTGTGAGTTGTCCTATTCACCTCGGTTTGCAAGTCGATGTCAGTGTCCATGCTTTAAATTAATGTTTATGCGCCTATAACTTCTTTATTTCTTAAGGTATCAATTTCAAATATATATTCCTCATCATCATCCACATCATTTGATAAGGTGCAACTCTAAAACCAGTATCTCCAGAACTATATCCCCTTGAAGTTAAAATAATGTTATATTTTACTCCAACATATTCATTTCATATTAAAGTATTGACTTTAAACTTCAAATATGTGTTCCTTATCATCAACTACATCATATGTGAGAATGTTTTGTTTTTTAACTCTAAAACCAATTTTTCCAGAATTATCTCCACAATAACTTTTTTTCTCTCAAAAAATCTTACTTTTTACTTTCTTTTTTATTTCTTAAGGTATCAACTTCTAACTTAAAATATATTTCCTTATCATGTGTGACAAGATTCATAATTGTAGCATGAATATTTCCAGGATTATTTCCACCATTTAAACTTTTTTTTTAAATAAAAAATGATATTTTATAACTTAAAACAATAACATGGCAAGATTCAGAATTATCATCCCTTTATACTTACGTTTAAATGTTGAATTCTGCTTAAGCCGGTGCTAGGGGGGCGTGGACGGTAACTTGCACTTTCCAGTACCGTCCATGAACAGGCTCAATCAAACCGAGTCTGCAACATTTTCAATTTTGCCGTGTTGGGCTTTCTTTAGGGATTTTGTATAAATCTATTTTAGAATTTTCCTTATTAAATTCTGATTGTCCAAATGCCCCCGAAAAGGTTTCTTAAGCATGCAGAATTGGTAGTAGGAAAAAGAAAAGAGGATGAAAGTAACTAATTTCTTTGTATTATTGTACATTTGTGCAAAGTTATTTCAAAATCCCTCAATGCATGGAAAAGTTACATACCTACTGGACATGATTGTTGTGTAAGTGGGGACACACAGACAGACATGAGCCTTAGCTGCGATACATTGTCCAGATGTGGTAGACATTTGTGCCAAGTTATTATAAAATCTTTCCATGCATGTCAAAGTTACAGTCCGGACATGAATGTGTATCTTCAAACTCTTCTAGATTTATGAATGAATACCTTCAAACTATAAGTATGACCTTGACCTCGAAGGTAGGGTTGAAAAAATCGGTTTGTAGAGGGCTTTATGAAGCTCTTTATCTTTGATTATCCTTGGGTTACAATTTTGAGGTTAATAAAGTTGAGTTTGTTTTACACAACCCGTTTTTGTACAAAATACCGGTTGATAAAATGTTCGCGGTATAAACATTTTGAGGATGCGCGCGTATCATATGACTTCTTTGAATTTTAGATAAGAAAACATGCGGGAGCAGCTAATTCAATAATCCAATGCTCGCCAAAACGCCCTCTGTTTAAAGAATCATTACTCAACTTTTTCATCAGTAATTTAAACTTGAAACAACAAGATGGTGAATAATACCCGTGTATTACATAATATTACACAATTGGTGCTGCACATTTCTTTGATTATGTGGATTTGCAAGATATGTGTCAAATAGATGGACACGTGACCGGTTGATTTTTTCTAACTTACACAATAATTCAACATGAACATTTTAGAACCATGACATAATAATCTGATTTTATTGAAATGTAAATTATGAATACATTATTTGACACTCATTTAAATATCTGGTCTAACTTTGGTTCTGTCCGTGCAGTTTACGAGAATTAATAAGCAAAAAGTCACACCATTTTAAAGTAAAGTTCGTCGTCACATCTGCAATACCACAGTCAGTTAAGTGATCTTATATATATAAGAGGTCTGTGGTTCGATTTCAACTGTTGCCAATCTTTTTTGCTTAAAGTATAATTGATCCGTGTCACGACAAAACCAACATAATGGGTTTGCGACCAGCATGGATCCAGACCAGCCTGCGCATCCGCGCAGTCTGATCAGGATCCATGCTGTTCGCTATCAGTTTTTCTTCTTGTAATAGACTTGGTAAGCGAACAGCATGGATCCTGATCAGACTGCGCGGATGCGCAGGCTGGTCTGGATCCATGCTGGTCGCAAACCCATTATGTTGGTTTTGTCGTGGCACGGCTCATATTTTCATAGAAAGTTGAGAGCTTGCAAAATTATCATCATGGACATGAAGCAAGTTAGAAATACTCTTTTGTCTCGATTTGTATAGTGTGTTTACGACATTGAAATTATACTACTCAAAGTTTGCTAAGCACCAAGTTTTTCCATATAGCATCCTGCATTTCTACATCATAATGTTATGATATTTATATTGTAAATCGTATAGTAATGTATCGAGAGTTTACCCTGTGTAATACTGGGTCCTGACGCGAGTAACAATTATTGCTCCTCACAGAGCAACTACTACACAGAATATTTATAAAGTTTTGTAAGTGATGGCTTTCTTAGAAATAAAATAAACAAGGTATACATAAATTGATAATCAACACACATACCATGACTTTGGACTCATTTAAATGATATTATTGAAAAAAAATGGTAAAAATGGAAAAACATATCTATACAGTATGGTACAAATAAAAATTATGTACGAAAGGGTAC